GGCGCCAACTATTATATTACGAGGTCAAAAATATTTATTAACGTTTAAAAAATCGAAACGACTTCAATTATTTGTAACAAAAATTTTGTTCCAGAAGCTTTGTATATTGAAATTTGTAGAAAAATTAATACCGATGAACTTTTGTTGGAAACATTTCGTTACCAGAGATCATCGAAAATGTGTGAAAAATCGATAAAAGTTTCTGTTCGGCCGCAGTCGCATTGGGCCAGTCACACAACTCTGCAGTACCGTGAAACTCCGCTTGTTAAAGTCCACGTAGAATTCACATTTGCAGGTACTTGCACTTAAAAGTTACGTGTACGTGTTAATGATAGTGCAAAATTTCATATAAAAGAAGTCCGACATCTACCATTTTTACTCAATTTGTTGTAAGCTTTCTCAAAGTTCATATTTATAAATACTCAACATTTTCTCTTCGCGAGTTAAAAAGTTCTCACGAAATGCATTAATAATTAAAATGCAATCGTTGACATGAATAAAAGTGTATCGGACACTTTGTATTCGATATTCAATAGGGAATAATAAAAATAATTCATTTCAGTTTCGATTTGAAGATCTTCTCTTTATAACGTTATTCGACAAAATTAACATTTTGGATTTCGAAGTATCAATAGGATCTTACTTCGAAGGAAAAACAAATTTTCTTCAATATAGAAAGTTGATAAATTGTCTTTTGGTCAGAGATTATCGCGTTTGGTGGCTCCAGACATTGCGATTTTTCTAAAAAAAAAAGAAGAATGGCGATTATACGGTGACTTAATCCGAGCAAGGACACTGGAAAATGATAATGGATTTTACGGAACCTTGAAGCCAGGTCCAGATAAGAAAATGATGTTAGCCATGAATAGTAGAGAACGCACCGTATCCGCGAAATTCCAGTCCGCTTCTTTGTCCGAGAGACACAATGAAAAACTGTGTCAACATCTCCTAATTGCAGCAGTTCGAGCTGCCAACAACGACACCGTATCGTCTCCTTCATCCTTTATCGCTGCCGCGGTAAGATCGCGAATTTCGCGATTCGGGTCCGTCGGAATTTTTCGGATCGGTCCAATAAAAGCGGACCATGTCGTCACTCTATATGTACAACCAACAGAAATGTTTAGCCGTTCTCATTTGCATGTCTTACGTCGCATATAAAAGCCTATGTGACTCCAAAGTACACGTTACGCGGTGATTTTCTTCCGAAGATCGGCATTTCTGTAGAACACGCTTCGTTCTTCGTGTTACAAGGTCCTCATTCGAAATTTATCTTCCTGCAGATCTGATTTCTGGAAGTCTAATTTTGCTGCAAAGTTGTCGTTCCAAAGTTCTCTAATGAAAAATTCTCATTCGAAATTTATCTTCCTGCAGATCTGATTTTTGGAAGCCTAATTTTGCTGCAAAGTTGTCGTTCCAAATTTTTCTAATGAAAATAAACGCTGATGTATATATGTTTATTATTCGATCCAAAATTGTCTTGCGTTACCATGGACGTGGAATTATTATTTAATAATATGGTTAATATAGATAATATGGATAATGGATTAACTTTTTAACGTTCTTATGTTTTGCGAATCTTAATCCTTCGCACTCGACTGGTGACTTCGACTCACCACGAGTCACAATATTCAATTTCATATGATATATACAGGGTGTTCCACAATTATTTTAACAGCCGAAAATGAGGGGTAGCTGAGGTCATTTGAAGTAACTTTTTCCTGTGCGAAAATGCAATCTGCGGCTTTGTTTACGAGTTATTAACGGAAAACACTGACCAATGAGAGGCGACGGCGCGAAGTTCGAGAGCCCGCAGCACGAGGCTTTGCAGGTGGTCAGGACGGACTCGAGCCGCGTTCGAAGTATTGAACAAATCACGAAGCGAGAACTATCCGGATTTTTTTTACTACGTAACAGTGATATTCTTAAGAACGCAGTTCACCTTTACTTTAGAACGTCTGAAGGATATTTACTAATTTTACTAATAATGCATGACACCTTGTGCGTAACATATGAAATTTTTAAGCAAGGTGTACAGTGAAGAACCTTGACATATCCTTGACATAACCTTGACATGACCTTCACAAGACCTTCACATGACCTTAATATAACCTTGACATTTCAAGGTTATGTCAAGGTCATGTGAAGGTTATATCAAGGTCATGTCAAGGTTATGTCACGGCCATGTCAAGGTCATGACAAGGTCAACTTCATATTTCTCTAACAAACATATCCTTTACGTCCTTTAACACGATTATTATTTATTAAATTAGCTTTGCGAATCATTCGTTGAACT